CATCGATGAGTTTTCCGCGTATCTCCTTGCCGGGATTGGAAGCCAGGTAGGAGAAGGGCTCCAAGAGCGCACGTTCTTGAACGGCGGACCAAGTCGGGTCGACCGACAGGTGCGAGCGTATGTTGGTGTAGAACGCATTGAAGGCGGAAGGCGCAAGAGTGGGAGCGGATGTGCTGCTGGGTCGAGCGTCTGAAGGGAGAGCTGAAGAGGTCGAGGCTTCTTGAGAGCTCTGCGATTGGACAAGAGAGTCCGAGAAGGACATGTTCGCGCGTGCTCGATTCGAATGGACGTGCCGGGTTGATCCGGGGCCCGCTTTGCTGGCGAGGAGCTTACACGAAGGGTGGTGTGTGGGGCCGAGTAAGCCAATGAAGCAGAAGTTGCAGGAAGTGCAGCCTATATCTATGCAATTTCCTCTTTGGATGTGCGCAGCTTCGAAGACTTGGGGATATATGGCAATGATGGGCTGGCGTGGCGTGTAGCTGTGTAGCCAGAGACGTAAAGATGCGCCTCTAACGCTCTTGTCGATTCATGCAGCGGTACACCCAAGATGAACGCCGAAGCGCTCGTGGCGACCTTGCCGTATTTACTGGAGTGTCGATGATGTCAGCGCTGCGCATACGAGCTTGGTCACCTCGTTGGGGGGCAGCGGGTAAGATACGTGTGCGGTCTAAACGGTCCTCAAACCTGATTGAATACACGTGATTATCGAGAGTGAGGCTGGGCGAGTGATGATTCAATTGAAGGATGGATGGACTGAATGGGGGTGGTAGCCAAAGTGTGCGGATGATCCCCTTTTCGCTGGTCACAGTGCCGTAGCAGCAACTGTGCAGTGTCCAGCCACGAGTGAAATGAGCTCGATGCGCACTCGAAGCCTGCTGCATGCAGAGTTGGGGCTGGACTTGAATTGAGACCGCGGAACGGAGTCGTGAGAGGCGAGCGTGGCGCAATCGTGAAGGTGTTCAGTTGTGAGTGTGTAAGGAGGAATTGAATAGTGCCATGGAAGAGGTTAATTGAGGGAGGTGGAGCAAACAATCTTGAATCAATCAATCAATCAATCAATCAATCAATCAATCAAAGCAGCCGCGAGCAGATGAAGTGAAGGGAAAGCGCAGCAGCAGCAGCAGCAGCAACATCATGCATTCGCAATTTGCCAGTCACGAGTCCTCCACTTGCTTCCTTGCCTCTCCTACTTCATTGCGGCTGTGCATTCATGCAGCGGAGACCCTACAGCTAAGAGCTGTCGCGGTAATGGCATGCTGCTGTGGAGCCATGCGCGTCCAAGGCGCGGTCGTCTGCTGGTCGATCGTGTCGCTCACCCTTCGGTGTCTCTCACGCGAGGCTTGAGCGCCTGCATGGCTACCGTATCGTCACAAGTAGCGAGCGACAATAACGATATTGTGATTCACCATCGGCAAATACAAAATGACGACGTGAGTGCACTTTGACTGTGTGAGTCAATTAAGCTGCACGCAACAGAACAGACCATCAAAATGAATGAGTCAATTTTGACAGCTCATTCGTCCATCGGATTCACAGGCCAATTACTCCTCCCATGAGAATACCGGCGAGTCAAAAATCTGCCAGTGTGAAGAGTGCGTGCGTGCGTGCGTGCGTGCGATGCAAAGCGTCAGCCTCTCACGGAAGATGGCGTCGTGGTTCGCGAACATCGAATGCATGCGAGTCGTGAGTACAAGGAGATGCGAAAAGGATTGGCTGGGAGTGGATCACGAACAACTCATAAACATTGTCGTTCCATCGTGCCTCTTTTGCATCATGCAGCGATTCAAGTACGGCGACTAGGCTTCCGCGCTGCTTCGAGAGCGATGGCTTGGATCGTCGCTGCCGTTGCCTAATCGTAGATGGGTCTGCAGAGGTGCGATGCAAACGTCATTTTGGCTGATAAGCAGACGAGCACATTCACGGACCAGCTTCCTCTCCCTTGCCATGTTGTTCTGCTCGATTCCACGACTACCCCATGTATGCGCGCCCTCGAGTCTTGTATTCTCTGGCCAGCATTCCTTTCGCGTTAGATTAGTGCGCCTGCGGCACTCGAAGCCTGGACAGGTCGAGATCGCGTAGAGCGTGTTTAAGCCCAGAATCGACAGTATCTGCGCTGGCAAGGAGAGATCGGCTTGTGCCAATGTGCTGGCATATCACAAGCCACAGCACCTCATCGCCCGGCTAGCCCAGTCAGCACGGCCTGTTTTGCCGAAGCACGTCTTGCTGGTGCTGTCTGGCTGCTGCGTCGCCCTTTTCTCGACACTGCTACAATGACGCCCTTCGAACGAGCATTCATTCGTCCTTCCACACCACGGTGCCTCTGGTCCAGCGCTCCGCAACAATGTTCTGACGATGATAGGTAGCTCTAAGCTGTCGATATCTCTTGACAAAAGCAGTTCCTGGATCTTCGTTTCTGTTCGCAGGTGCGAGAGTCGTCGAGCTCAAAGAGGCGTCCAGAGCAGCGTCGAGAGGCAGGCCTTCCACAAATGCTCCCGCCAGCGATTCCGATTCGTCGTGCAGCTTGGAAGTGGATTGGGTGAGGAGGGCCAAGAGAGATGAAGGTGCAAACCTCTTGTAAGCTTCCCTTTGCCTCCTTTCCAGCTCTGGCCATTCCAACTCCAGCTTTCTAGCCTCATCAAAGTACTCTTTTGTTTCTCTTCTCAATGCTTCGAGCTCGGGTTTGAGCTGCATGTTGATCTCGGCCAACTCTTCAGCTCGACGAAGCAAGGCTTCTTCTTCCTGCTGCGCAGCTTTGAGAGCAGGAACGTTGCGCGCTACCCAGCTGTGAAACGCATCGTCGTTGGATTGAACACTGTGCGTGGAGCCTAGCAATTGTTGCAGTTCTGCGCGACTCAGGTGACTTATGTCTGGCAATTGTGAATCGGCGGGTATGGATGGTCCGGCCACGACGGGCGGAGCTGAGCTGGACATGCTGCGATTTGAACCACGAGGCGGCCGTCGGGTTGCTTGCTCGAGCAATCGAGAGGGTCAGATGTCGAATCGATACGTGT